AGGGTGGCTGGCCTGGTCGGGGAGGTGGAGCGATTGGGGAGGCAGTGCAGGAAGGCTGTTGAGGAGAAGCAGACGTTGGCTGATCAACTCACAGATACTATAGAGGCATATACACAGGTAGAAATGACAGGTGCGGGGACTGAACCGGGGACCTCAGGTGATGGAATCTGATGGGGGTGATAGTGGTACATCTGAGGTGTATCGACTTGCCGTTCCTGAAGATTTGGATTTCACAGAGGAGGTGGAAACGCTACGGCTGAGCAACAGGCATCTCACTGTGGAGGTGAAGACACTTCGCGCGGAGATACTCAAAATGAAGGTACCGGGTGTGGGGTTCGAACTTGGGACCTCCTTACTGTGTACTGTTCAGCGAGATGCTTCGCGGGTGCAAGAGGCGCCGCAGTTGAGTATTGACCACAAGGATGGTGGCGTTGAGGAAATGCAAGAATTGCAAGATGCCCGAGTGAGGAGGTTGGAATATCAGAAGTCATCCCTTGAAACTGAGAGGGATCGGCTAAAGGAGGAAGTCCGGCAGATCTCTGAAATGTATGTTAAACTCTGGTAAGTTTGAAAATCTTCCCTGTGCGCAAAGATATGCTCGTGTGAAATCTTCGCTGTGCGCTCTGATTAGGTCTGAAGGGACTTCTTCGAGCGACGGGTTGAGGGAGGAGGTAGTTCGACTGAAGGAGGAGAACGAATCGCTGCGGTCACGAATACGGGAATTGATTAAACGGAGGGAAGATGTTGTATCAGAACCTGAGAGCTTGGCGGAAGGTATCTAAAATCTTTGCTGTGCGCAATATGATACGTCGTTCAATATGGGCATGCTTTACTTTCCGTAGTTGAAGTGTGGAGTTGAGTCGTGAGGGGATCCTTTTTTCTGCCTCTCGAGTTCGGGTTGGATTCTGAGAGGATGATGGGTCAATCTTGAGTAGGAGTAGCTCCTCATCTGCTGTTGTGATAGTTTCCTGTTTTTGTTGGGTGGAAACTGGTCGATCTGGGGGAGGGGTCCATTCGACAGTCCCACTGTATAATTGATGAAAGTTGCCTCAGGTGTGGTATTAAATGATAGAGTGTGGTTTGGGTTACCTATGCTGAAACTAGCTAGGTCGCAGTCCTCCAGTATGGAAAATTATTCACATGTGTTGGTGACAATATGAAAATTCTGCCGGAATTTTGGGAAACTCTTGTTGGTTTTTGAATATTTCTACTGGAAGTCGTGTGCAAACTCCTACAATTATTGAGGAAACTCCTGAGCTCACCTGAGGAAAGCGAACATATATTCCTCCAACATTATAGTCCCCATCCTCCTTGATGTCTTCCTCCTCACTCTTAACGAAGTGTGGTCAACACCGGAGGATGATGGCCATCCGTACCATATCCTCGGCAGTTCATCGACAGCTTTACCCTTGGTCATCATCATACTCTCCCTTTACGACCATCTTTTACCCTGTCACTAAATCAAGTGAGGAAGTTTGCATCAACAACATCCATCGTTCACTACCATGTTCAGATTTACCGTCTTACTGCCGCTATGGAGGAGCGGCGGTGGCGGTTGCTCTACTGGTCGGTTCTGCTCTAACTCCGTGTGACTCTCGCACTTTCTGTGAGGAATCGACTGTAGAGGGTATCGAGGGGAAATGGCATCCCCATTTTGGCGAGCCTGTTGAGGGTTTGAAGACCTATAAGATTGCTCAGGTGAGGTGCCCAATGGATGACCAAAGAATATTCGAATAAATGATTGATCTCTTCTGCGGAATTCAGGAGCTTACACACACGGAGTGAAGTAGAAGTGTAGAAAAACTGATAAAAATTCCGCAAAATTTCCTCCCAGAAATCTCACTTCGTCGCGACACCTGTAGTTGATCATGTGCATATTTTTCCACACTCTGAGTGTCTCTGTTCAGGTCGCTGAACACAACAAGGAGGGCTCCACTGTATGGGTTACGTTCAAGCAAGGCGTATATGACATTACGGAATTCGTCGCAAAACACCCCGGAGGAAAAGATAAAATTCTCATGGCCGCGGGTCGGTCAGTTTCGGGTCGTTGCGATTTTTGCAATTGTTGTTTATCTCAGGTGGAGCTGTAGACGAATTTTGGCGACTATATAGGCAGCATTTACAATTGCCGGAAATCAGCCATATGCTGGAGGAGATGAGAATAGGTGAATGGCGGCGTTCTGATTGCTTACTATCGATGTTGGGAAATATGCACATGGTCAAGTACATTTGTAGGTGACAGTCGTAGAAAATTTGAGGAAATTCTCGTTGGTTTCTGTACACTTTGTACACCCGAATTTGTGTGTAAACTGCTGTGATTAGCGAGGAGACTTTGAGGAAAGCGATTACATATACTCCAACACTGCCCGCTATGGCTCGAAATGGTCGTCGTTTTAGGCAATCTTGATCCAGAGGAGTATGCCCAAGCTAATCGTGAGTCAGTGAAGAGTGGGGACGACCCTTATCGGTTTGAGCCGGATCATCGGCATCCTGTGAGTCCCTCTGGGGCATGGTGTTGTTACTGTTCTGGATAGGCACTTCAATTTCGAACCCGACATCCTTGTAACGCCGAGGCGCCTCTTGAGCTACTCGCGGATGCATTCGAGACCCCGAATGCCCTATTCTTCGTGCGAAATCATTTTCCTGTTCCTCCACCACCGGAGAGGCCGGTGGTACGGTTCGAGGGCGTGGGACTAAAAGCAGCAGTCGAACTTACTGTTGAGGATTTGAAGAGGAAGTTCCCTCAACATAGTGTCAATGCAGTGATTCAGTGCGCTGGAAATCGAAGATCTGAATTCAACCGAAAACTGGAGGGAAAACCTCCGGTGAAAGGCGAGACGTTCTTGGTCAAAATAGATTTGACTTGTTCGTGTGCGGCAGGTCTGGGATGGAATCCTGGAGCGATTTCTAACGCCATCTGGACCGGCCCACGGTTGAGGGAAGTATTACAGTATGTTTACGGCGATATGGGAGTACCGGATGAGGTCACCACTGATGGCCATGTCCAGTTTTGGGGAAGGGATGGTGATGGTCAACACAATTATGGAGCAAGTGTGCCGGCGCCTAAAGTAGCATTCTAGTTGGTTCGTGAGTAGATGGGTATTTCTGTCGTTGGTGAAGGTATTTAGTGATAATGGTGATGTTATATTGGCTCTTGAAATGAATGGTGAGCCGCTGCCTATCGATCATGGCTGGCCTGTTAGAGTTCTTGTGCCGGGGTCGGCTGGAGCCAGGTGCCCTCGCTGGGATTCGAACCTGGGTGGGGAGGATGTTCGATGGTCAGGAATGTCAAGTGGTTGTCTAGAGTATGTTTGGAGTTGGAGGAGAGTCCATCGTTCTGGCAGAAGAATGATTATAAATTTTTACAAGTGAGCTTTGTGTGCATCCCTGATGTAATTTCGTGGCGCGCGAAATTTGATCTGCGTAGGAACACAGTGAGGAGAATGCGGAAGATGCGGAGGCCCTGCAAGTAATGCCTGTGACAAGCGCCATATGCCATCCAGTCGGAGGAGCGACCGTCCCGTTAGATGATCAGAACGAGTTTGTATGCAAAGGGTGAGGTCGCGGGTACGAATCCCGGTAACGGCATTTTAACTCGCTTTATGTACGCTTATTCTGGTGGTGGGCGGCGAGTCAAAGAGGTTGACGTATCAATCGATGGAGGAAAGACCTGGAGTCAAGCGATGATGGAGGGGCATCCTGAAGTGAGACATGAGTGAGATCCAAGAGGTCCCTGGTTCTATCCTAGCACTTGACATTTTAGCCGCAATTGGTCGTGGGTACTTTGGTCGGCGGTGATTTCCATACCACCTGGTGGAGCCGGAACTTCTCTTGTCAACGTTGGAACACCAGAAGAGGAGGAAGAGGTTGAAGTGAGATCGAGTCTTCAGGAAGGCGCGTGGTATCGGTTTTAACAGATAATCGTTCGGGCTTTTGATGATGCCAACAATACTCAACCGGAGAGGTCCGCGACTATCTGGAATGTCCGAGGCTTGGTCAACAACTCGTGGCATAAGGTGAAGGTTAGAGTCAGTCGGAAAATGTGAACATTTTGGTCCTGAAACGAGGGCCCGTTGGGGGGGGGGCGCCAATGTGCCCCCCCCAACTTTCACTTATTGAACTTTTTTATATTTTTCATTTCGAAGTTCAGTGGTGGTAATAGAGTTGAGCATGCTCACCTTTGCTAGTAGTACACAAGTGTAGTTATTGTTATCTATTCCAGTTTCCATATTGCTGGCTTTGCGTAGTACCATATCAGAGAGGCTCGTCAGAGCTCAGATGGGCGTGTTTGGAATTTAAGAAGTATATGGGGTTGATTCGAGAGTACGGGAGAGACTCCTTGAACTCTGTTGGAAGAGGAGCATTCGGTTGTTGTTGTGGTGGGCAGGGGGACAGAGTCTGCACATGGTCAACCACATATGTTGGTGACAAAATGAGAATTCTGAGGAAATTTTGATAAATTCTCATTGAGTCCTGTTCATCTCTACACTGATTCGTATGTTAACGTGTATATTTAGTGAGGAAACTGTCAAGCTCAGCTGAGGAAGGCGATTACATATTTTTCACCACTGGACAGGGCTCCCTAACGTGCTGCTGACCTTTTGCCCGGCTTGTATCACACAGACAGTATGGCAAACGTCGTGTGCTAGCAGTCAGTAGATGATGGTTCAAGTAGTTGATTCGGCAGCCGAAGTATTGTTCCGGGATCCCTTACACTGAACGGCATTATCAAGGACAGTCACTTTCCGTATTCTCTGTAGGGGCCCTTTCCTCTTGCTGCGGTCGAAGGTAGGCTACCTTAGGTAGCTGAGTCAAGGTGCTTGTTGTTGTTGATTCGACTGTTCGACTTCCCTCTACCGCAATCATCATTAGGATCCTCGATAGGATGAGGTGGATCGAATTGTAGAGAGCAATGTTTGGTATTATAAACAGCCATTCAGAATGTGGCAACTCCGAGTTCAATGTGTCCCATGTGGTGGGCTTGATAGTTCACTTACGAAGCATTGTTGATCTTGGTGAGAGATCCCATCTGTCATGTTCCACACGAGGGTGAGAAAGTTGTGGTATGATCGAGAGCATTTAGACAGATTCCCGTGGGAGGACTCGCCGTTTGGGGATGTGGGCTGCTTTCTGAAAGCGGTTAGTCAATCTGCAAGTGGTACGGGGGGGTTTACGAGGATTAGTCCTCGGAGTTCCCCTCCTGGTCGTGTACTCAGGAGGACATTAAGTTCTACACGAGATGGGTGAGATTTGGTAAGGGATAAACACAGCAGGGTATAGAAGCCGTAAAAGCATGCACTAGCCGATCAACTGTAGAGTTGAGTATCTAGTGGTTTCCTATGGTTAGTCTTGCACGCCCTCTGCAGTAGCGGTCGATGGTTTTGTAAGATCCAATATATCAATGCCAATCTCCCGTCGGTATATAGACATCGCTGTTAATCTCACAGATGGAATGTTCAAGGGAGTGTACCACGGTGGCAGCCAAAAGCATAAACCAGATTATGCAGCTGTGGTACGCGAATGAACTGCAGAAGAAGTGGCAGACTCGTCCGGCCCATGTTTAGGTGAGTAGAGCCTTCCAGGGTGGTTGCAAGAAGTTGTTGCTATGTGGTGGCAGCTTGAATGACTCGATACAAGCTGTGGAGCTGTGCAAGGAACTTGATCCTGACGGGGGCAAATTGTAAATTGCGAAAGTCGACATGTCGTTTCACCGCTTCAGTTTGCTGTCAGATTCTGCACAGTTGGGGTTCATCCCACGAGAGTTGGAGAGTTTGAAAATGAGGATACCTCGGCCGAAGCACATTTTGGAGCACTTCGGAAACTAATAGCCGCCAACCTGGACCGAGTCGCTGCTATTGGAGAGATGGGACTAGACAAGGAGAGGACTGAGTTTTGCGACTATGGGACGCAGTTGAAGTACATAACTACAATTTATAAAGTTGATATCCCTGATGGAGTTGACTGAAGTTTTGTTTTTATAGGAATTCTCTATGAGGCAATTATTGGCGCTCACCTATAGCGAACCAAGGTCGCCGCCGTCACTTGTTCGTGTTAGGTATTTCGAGCTACAACTGCGGCTAGTTGAGGAGTTTCAGTTGCCAATGTTCCTACATATGAGAGCAGCGGGAGAGGACTTCTGTAGGAGTATATGAAGTTTCTGATGATGATGCTCGGCTATTCGAAGAGGATTTATTGTCTCGGTTTTGGCAGATCGAATACTGAATGAGAACAAGAGCAAGTGGTGCTGCTCTGGTGGAGTGGCTCATAGTTTTACGGGGACACGTGAGGAGATGGAACTGATAACTTCGCTTGGATTGGGCATCGGTGAGGTCAATGGACAGTCCCCGTTACGTATGACCATGGAAATTGCATTGAGTAGATATTGTTGAATTGCGTCGGTGTTACGGTATGCTGATGATAATCGTGATTTTTTTTCGTATCGTTGAATGAGGCGAGTTTCTGGATCAGGACTTTCTCAGTTCCAGGCCCAAATTTTGGTGATGTGACTTGCAGGGTTCTCGTGAAGTTATAATAGAATCTCTGTTATTTAGCCCGCGCTAGCTGAATATTCGCTCGTGTTGGACATTGATATCTCCGGCTTAGGTCTCAATGGCTGTAGTTTAAGGGCAGCGGAGAGCTTGCAAGCCGTGGTTCCCTTCATACCAGTCGATAAGCTTATGTTCGAAACTGATGCTCCGTAAGTAGTGGTGACAGTGTCACGATGATATTGGTCTGTGAAGGTATTGTGACATTCGACAGTCACATGCTGGTTATAAGTATTTGAATAGTAAGGGTGACTGGTGGTGCCATGGTGACACTGTGAAGAAGCCTGAGAAGTGGGAGGACGGAAAAATGGTAAAGTCCTTTTTTCAGCCAAGCCTTGCACTGAGATGCGCTTCAGGTGAAGAGCCGTAACGAGCCATGCTTGGTTGGGCAGGTTGCTGCAATTGTGGCCTCGGTCCATCCAGCTGGTGATGGAGTTGTTGAAGCTGCTTACAACAATACTCTACGTGTGTTTACCAAAATGCAAAACTGATGATAAGAGTGTCTCTGCGTTGGGATGTAATCCACAATGAATCTTTCATCTTAGCCCATATATTCGAGGCTCCGTGGCAATATCGTTTGCCGTGGTCTACTTCTGCTCATGTCAATCCCCGACGATCCCTTCACGTCATAGTAGAGAAGACTGTCATCATAGACCCGCTGTTGGCAGCCTCGATGACAAGCCCTGGTCTTACTTACCCGGCCGCTCTCGAGATAGCGATAGCCCCCGGCGATGAAGTGAATGATTATGAGGGTCTGGGATCTGTACGCCAATACCAAGAGCGCGGCCGAGGTCAGGAAGAGCGCCGCTCCCATCCACGGTGCCATCGAGAACGTGATAGACCAGGACCCCGACTTTGCTGTCACTGTCGGTGATTCGTTGCTCGACGGGGCGACGCAATTCGACTTAATCGAACTGCAATCCGTGAATAGGGAAGCTTGCTATGGTGAGTTATGGTGCATCTGCTTCGCTCCGCTGCTTATTCTCATTATTGTTCAGCCTCCCATATACCAATGAATTGCGTAATAGTCTCCCAAGGCATGTTGGCTCGTGAATTCGTATTTAACCTCCTCGTCGTTCTCGAGTCCCAACGAGACCTTTCTTGGGCCGCTCTCGAATCCTCCAGCAGTCCTCGTCCTATTGAGGAGCCACCTGTACTGGTCAACTGTGACTCTCAAAGGCTCTACAAGCCCGTTTTATCATGGTGAACACATTATCTAGGAGTTCACTTTGTGATGGTAGGGCAATTATGGACGAGGAATGAGTAGGGTCTCCCTTGCGGTTTTATGTGGGGCCATAGCTGACGAATTGGGGACGAGTGGATGACTGGTGTGAGGATCGAACCAGGGTGGCGGTTTCGAAACGGTCAGTCAGCGTGTTGTCCTGCCATAGTCCTACATGCCAATCGCGAGGGATCTCTTTTCATGTTGCTTGGATACCTTTACGTGCGAGTTGTATGGTAAGAGAGGCTTGTATGGTGTGAGTCCTATTACCTTATCTGAGCTGCTGGTGGCCATCGAGTATCGACCTGACTTTCGGTGAGCTCATCCTAGCAGGCCCCAATATGACCAAGACCGGCTATGTTCAACTGACCGAAAGCGGAGGCGACTCCATAGCTCTAAGAGTGGTGTTCACCAGGGCATGTTCGTCCGGAATGGTGAAATACATGACCCTTACTTAAGGGGTCGCTGGTTCTTCTGGACTGCCCATACAGTTGGGCGGTGGGTTCTCTGGATGCTATGGGGTCGGATATTTGCCCGAGTGACACGCTAAAGTACACCATTGACCATACCACAGTACCATCATGTGGCTTATGTCACTGTGTGACCAGCCAGGTCGACATTCGTGTACTCTGAAATTTGAATGCTGCCAGCCGGATCACACCCGAGAGGACCTTGTCAACTGGTTGAAGCACTTCCAAAACGGCTTGACCATATAAGGTCTCTGTACCATCAACTACGTTTGAATGACTATTGCTCGAACTGGATTCTGTTGTCTGCTTAGCGAGACCAATGGTCAGATTGAAGCTACTTCTCTTTCTCAGCAGGTGTGGTTCCTATTGTCTTGCGTTGTCATTGTAGTAGGGACATGGTCTCAGCCTTGTATTCGTCACTATGGCGGAATCACGTCGTGACTGTTCCCAGATGGTCGCTAAGTTCATCCACTACAGTGCAAGTATCCTGCTCATTCTGGTCGGCGCCTCCTACGCTATAACGTCCCTCTACTTCCTATCTCAAAGTATTGGCCATCCGTTGGGGACGGGCATCGGCCTCGGCTTCGGTCTGACGGTCTGTGCCACCGCTGTTGCAGGACTATTTGTGAACACCAAACGGCGAGTTTGGTATCTTCTACTACTCCTGCTCATGCAGGCGTTGGAGTATCTATGTTTTTTCACGCTGGCTGTGATCATGTCGATATTTATGCCATCACTGACTGTTATGGACCAGTACAGCCTAGTCCAGCTCAACTTTGTCGGTGGTCGTGAGGGCAGCTTCTACCGTGGTACTCGAACTGTCTTCCTCTACATGTACAAGCATGCTGGCTGCAGTGGTGGGGAGTGTACACTGCGTGGTGTAGTCGACTCCTGCACGACAGTGGAATGCAGTTCTTCGAGGGACTTGTCCAAGTCCCTGAATGACCTCCTTGGGCGTCGCTTAATTGGTCCTGGGTATACCAGTTCGATGAGTCGTTGTATGGCCTCTGCTATCAACGAGGCTGATGTTACTGAGGCGACGGCTTCATCAGTTAGCGTCTGGTGTGGCTGCAGTACGGAGGTCTTTCGCTACATGCATTTGTGGTCCCCTTGGATCCTGGCTTCCCTCTGGCTGGCAGTCCTTCTCATTTTCCTGGTGGCGGCAGCTACTTTGAAGACCGTTTTTATGAAGAAGATTCGATGGAGAGCACATGTGATTCGAAGTGTCGGCCAGAGTGTTGGCCGTAGTGATGGAACTTCTATGGTGAACCCTGAGAGTATCGAATTTGTTAGACTGTAATCATGTGTATGTGTTGATCCTTTGTGTCCAGTCAAAATGAAGATGCAGTGATAACAACGATTCTTGTTAGTAGTAGTATAGGTCAAATCGAAGTAATACTACTACATGTAACCATACAGCCGATATTCGGCAAGAGTGATGCAAGTGAAAGCGTGTTGTCTTTTTCAATCCTAGGTGGGCGGAAGAACCATCGGACAGGCCCTCCTCTGGTACTCCATCGAACTCTCCAATGCTCGGACAACAATCGTCAGCTTCAAGCACCTAGGGGCAACTGGCATCTGTGGTGTCCTCATGGCGATCTACATTATCGTCGCCTCTGACGTCGAGCTGGTCCATCGTGCGTCGGTCTTGCGGAGCCACTCACTCCTTCTACCTCGGCCTCCATGAACGAGAACAATGCGGGGGTGGACTGTACGATCCCGAAGGAGAGAGAAAGAGGAGTTTGGTGATGTCTCCAACAGAGCTTCGCTATTCACGCGTGACCGCACGACGATCCTCCTCACGCGTACGTATAAATCAAACAGTGAGTACAGTGTCGCAACAGTATAGCTGTAGTTCTTCAGTGATTCCCTCGAAAAGAGTCAATTCGGACATTCGCCCTGCATTTGACCATGTTGTTCTCGTCCTCGTTGATAGTTATTGAAGCCTTGTCTATGGCTACCAGTATCGTCGCCTATCTCCTATCGCGATCGGCTTTTGTTGGCATTCATGTCGTTTATCTGTATTGGTTGAACTTCATTTTCAACGACCCGTTCGGTGTTGGTGGGAATACTATGGATGCGAGAGAAATCCTCCCATACGGGGAGTGTACACATTTTGACCCGGGGGCTTTCGTCGCGAACATCGGCTCATTTCTGATATTCTCGGTGCCGCATTCTCTGCTGGCCAGAACTGCAGTGAAAAAGCGCCTTGGTCTATACAACAAGCCATACGAGAGACCTCTGTTCGCCTTCATGAGCCCGATAACTTGGTTCCTTAGTATCCACACCTGGACTCCCTTTGACAACTGCGCTCGATTCGATATCACCAACATCAGCGCCGCTCAAGTCCTCGTGTTTGGTGGTATATTCCTTCTGGCTAACTTGTATTTACTTGGTCTCCTGTACACTCTGCCAGATCATATCCTTGGGACCAGTCATTATAAGTATTGCGAGGGTGAAAAGCATGCTCATAAGCTGCTGACGAACTTCCCTTATAATCTGGTTCGTCACCCATCGTCCGCGTCCTTCTTATGGATGTATTGGGCCCTCCCAGCGTACACTGGTAACCATCTTCAGCTCGCCGCGTTATGGACCATCTACATCATACCGGCCACGCTGTTATTCGAAGAGGGTGGCCTTAGGGGACCCACAGGGGAGTTTGGTGAAGCTTATGAAGAATACGCTAGTAAGGTGAATGCCTTCACCCCGAGCAAGTATTCTATCGCCACTATTTTCGGTTGTCCGATGGGGATTAAAGCCAACGGCAAAAGCGCGTAGAGAGATATGAACGGAAAAGTTATAAACATTTTTTGAGTTGAATTGGGTGGTTTTTCTGCTGGTACTTCTTGACAACCCGATGAGTCGATTTATAGTATGCTTATTATTGGAGCCGTTGCCATATCGTGTCATTCTTAGCCTTCCTGTGGCCGCTTTTGCGTTGATAGTACGGAGGTATTTTGGTCACTCCAATTGGGTTTTCCAATGTACAAGTTGACTGGTGTTGAAGTCTCATGACGGGATAGTTCTGTGTAGGGTAATACTCCCCGCGGTAAATTATTAAATACATGCTCATGGCGTGCACAGAATTACCTCTGACTTTGTAGTGACAGCGACCCCTTCGACTCCTCTGAACGCCGTCAACCCAATTCTTGCACGCATGCGCAAGCAGTAAAAAGTTTGGGGCGAGCGAGAAATGCTTCGAAGTATTCGTCTAGGAGGCACTGTTGGGAAAGACAATCTGTCTGCAGTGGTATTGCATTAGAAATGGGCGGGAGACGTCTACTCCACGGCAACTACTTCACCCGTTATCTCTTCGGCTCCCTCGCGGTTATATGGATCGCTGAGTATGCTGCTGCCTGCCAATACGGGGTATTACACGAAGTCTGCACATCGAACATGCCTCATCCTAACCTACTTTGTATCTTGCTCGCTCAACCTTTAGATACCGCGCCATCGCAACCCCAATTGGATGTGGTCCTGGTGGCTCGAGAAGCAGAACCAGATAAAGAACGTGAGTCGTCATCACTATCATCGACCAGATTCTCTACTCCCATACTAGGGTGAGATCCCCGCCAACACTCCGGGTTATGCTATGGTCAAGTGGAATAACGAGGCCGAACAGAGGTGGCTTAAGACCCTCAATGTGGAGGCCATGAATGAGGAGTAGCATACGCTATTGTCTGTCGTGGAGACTTTTGGATTTTAGGTTCGCGAGGCGTCGGGAGGCGTATTATAAAGGGCATGGTCATGGTCACCAAGGACACTAATATGTCTATTTTTGCTCATTGTTATCACATCCGTACGCTAGGGCGTCGGGATAGGACCATCACTTGATATGGACATTTTGATGTGGTACATGTTGCGCTGTAGTCCAGGAGGGACACGACACAATAGCAATAATGACCCAACGTTGCTTTTCTTCCGAAGTGGGCCACTTGTTCTGTCTGCCCAACGTTGCTTGGGTCAGTTATCAATGACTCAGCAAACTTCTGAGATAACACTGAAGCGGATCGTTTCCTGAATCGCCTTACACTGTCCCTACTAAATTGTGAGATGCTTTCAAATATGATAATTTCTTATACATCTGTATGATCTATATTTTACTCGTCTCAAAGGGCACACCATGAGTAGTCAAGGCTTAGAAATGTTTAACATGGATCGGTGATGAATCAGCGCTGTCAATGGTGGTATAGCATACTGGCTAAGATTTCCACACGTCCAGGATGGATGGAAAATGACCACGGACGAGAAGTATCGCTGAGGGGACCCCAACGGCGGGAATCACCATTACTATCCACCTCAATCGTGTGGCTTCTAGAAGAGTTCTCTGTTGATAGTAATTGTTTTACATGTCGAAGTTGCCAAAGCTTCCCCAAGGGCAAAAAGTCTACGTCTACTACGGTTCTGCAAGTGGACGGTCAGAGGAAGCGGCGTTCGATCTGTGGCGGGAACTGAAGTCCCTGAAGTACCCCACAGTCCAGTTTAGTGGTCCACAGGCGTTGGATGCTGTATCGCTCGAGGAGATCTTCAATGGGGAGGATAAGACGGTATAGGAGCATCTTGCTGGTCAGCAGCGTTGGAGCCTGTTGGTAGTAGGTCATATTCATAGTATCTACAACCGGCCAAGGGGACTGTCCTGAGAACATGTCTGTGTTCTGGAAGAAGCTTAAGGGCGGCATCGTGGGTAGAGGAGGCGGACGGTCAACTAATAGGCTTCCTGATTGTGCTGTTTTTGGTCTTGGTGATAGCAAGTAATAGGGCAGTGCTTATGGGGTTTGGGTTATTGTTATGGAAATGCTCAAAGATCTCTCCTGGCTTGTTCTTGATGTTCTACCGAGGGATATCTTAAAAATAAGAGTAGTAAAGACTCGAATCTCGAGCCTGCTCATAGCTCGTAGTTACTTATTGTAGCCTATTGGCTCGGTGGATATGAATTTCATTTATAACGACTGTCGAGGTAAGGCTCCGTAGTGGAATCGTTGTGGGAAGATCTACTAACATGGGGAAGTAGAGAATCGACAAGAGGGGGGTTATTTTGCGTGTGCCCCTCAAAGGGACCACGGCTCGTTACTTTATCATCTCGGCCTCCCTATAACTCAGCTTGGCGTTCTATTGGCCCATCTGCCAGAGGTGTCAATTCGAATGTATAGATACAAGTACTACAACGTGGTGTCCAGGAGGCTGTATGGCATGTTGAAGCGTCTGGGCTGTAGTATGGTCCATCGACTGGGCTGTGGTGATGACCAACATGACTTCGGCTATGAACAGGAGTTCGATCCGTGGTTGGCCGACCTCTTAGGAGGTAGTACTCCTCTCACCAACACCCTCCTTGTCGTACACAGTTCTTTTCAGTCGAGCCCGATGTCCAATCACGGAAGCGGCAGCCCCTTGAGAAGACTCTGTATGAGGTCCGGCCGTGGACTGAGGGTCAGCTTTTGGGCCGAACTTCGACCGACCGACAGCACAAGTTGGCTACAGTTTTATGGCGGAGATGTCTCACACCTTGTCGCGAACCAAAAGAGGCTATTCACCTCCTACGTCTCTTCCTGCCAGCCGGGCATTGGGTCTACAAACCTGGAGATGTCTGCAAGGTCTGGCCCGAAGTCGACTTTGATATTGTGACAAAGTTCGTGGAGGACACTTTGGGACGGCAGTTGACCGACACTGTCGTGATAGAGCCTCGGTCCCAGTCTAAAGAGTTGGCCCAACGGTTGCCTTGTGGTCAGCCTCTAACTCTCGGGGATATCTTTTCTAAGTATTTGGATATTACTGCTATTCCAGGAAGGTACTTCTTCTCCATCATGGCCGAGTACGCAGACGAGGCTTTGAGGGAATACGAGGCCGGCATGGCCCTCCAGGAAGAGATTGAACTACTGCGGGACAAGTTGGTCGAGTTCGGTTCTCGTACACCAGATGGGAAGAATAAGCGCTTCGAGTACTGCGAGGCGGAGCAGATGTCGTACGCGGATGTCCTGTGGGATTTCCGTCGGATCAGCGTCCCTTTGGACCGGTTGTTGGAGTTGATACCACCGATAGCCCCTCGCAGCTATTCCCTGGCTAGCTGTCCAGACCTTCATGCCTTCTGGAGGGCCATGCCGTTTGGACCGGGGCCACGGCTCGGTGGTCTGGAGTTTGACTTGTGTGTCGGACGGGTCACGAGGACCACGCCCCTGTTGAGGGTAAAGAAGGGCCTGGCTAGCACGTATTTGACGAAACTTCAAAAAGGGGAGTCGGTGAGAATCGAACTCGCGCGGGGTCAGACTCTTGAGAATAGCGGCGTGGACGATCCCCGGACTCCGCTATTCCTGATGGCGGTTGGTACTGGTGTAGCGCCTATCAGGGCCCTAGTCCAGAAGCGCCTCCTCCAGGTGTGGCATGCCCAGCGTTCGGATCGTCTTGGCCGTATCGATGTGGTCCTTGGTCACCGGCACCCTCACCAGGACTTCCTTTTTGGACAAGAATGGCAGACCATTGTTGACAGCTTTCCGGACCTCTTTAGAGTGGTCGCTGCCTGGAGCCGACCGGACGATCAAAATGTTGTCGATCTGGTCAAGTCTGATGATGCCAATAACAGTTATTGCTACTCTGATCTCAAAAGTGATCCCCTGCCAGAGCATTTGGTCGGCAGGAAAACTTGGATTCAGGACGTGTTGAAGGCGTGGGCGTTCGATTGGCCAGTGGTCCTCTCCCAAGGAAGTCGTACCAAAATGGTCTTGGGAGGCAAAAGCCATCCTATGCCGATGCAGGTTTGGCAGACCCTCAGCGAGCTGTCCCCGGGAGGAGAGGTGGATCTGGACAGGGCCCGCAAGCAAGGCCGCTACTTCACTGACACTTGGGCTTGAACTGTATATACCACTATCGTTGCATTCCTTGTAGTATTGCTATGTTGGACACTGTCATTGTTCCTTATAAGTTGCTGGCACTAGTCTCTGTCGTGTTAATATTAGTCTATGGGGGGAGGGCAGCACCAGCAAGCCTTGGAATCACGATACATCAATTCGTAGTCAGCGCGTTCATGTGCTTCAGCGGCCTTCTCATGGGGTAGTAGATCACCTCAGCGGGTCACCTCTCTGTCCCTGCACTACAGCTTGATAGTGGCACATTACATAGTGTAACCTTCCCTAAAACACCCAGACTCCACAGGCGGCGAATGCCCGACAGAGGACCATATCGAAACTCTTGTAGGTATGGCAATTCAATAACAGTTCCAGTTCCGAGTTATTCGACAACACTTTCCCCTCTGCCCACACGAATCGATAGCCTGTCTTCCGTCAACACTACCAGCTCGTTACACGGGAATCCCCTGGAAATTTGACAATATTAAAGCCTCAAATGACATGAAAACTGTTCGAGACATCTCAGTTTTCAAGTAGTATCCTTCTGCCAGCACACGCATCGTCAACTATCATTCGGAAATCCCCATCAGATTGGCACATGCGTGAGCACCAGGAAAGACGGGATGAGAATAGGATATTGTTCGTGTGGCCAAACTCAACAGCAGGGCACGTTAAAAAGCATCGAGCTACTACGGCTCGTAGGTGATCCAATAGTAGCGAGCAACACATGCTCCTGAGGAGGTGCTCCATAAATGGACCGCCAACCTCTGTACGCTCTTTTCAAGCATCTCTCGCTACTTCTTAACCATGTATCTGGCATTAACCGAAAGCGTCGCTTGTCTAGTGCAGGAGGGACTCACATTGCCGAGACGTAGATGAAAATGGCAACTGGCCAGAACATAGAATGGGTGTTGATCATAAGCTCAGCGAAAGGGGTTGCAGGGTCGTGTCCACCCCAGTCGGTCCTGGCCGGCCACGGAATGTCCGCTCGAGCAATTGAGGGGGATAATAACTAACACAGAGCATCTTATTGAGAGGGACTGATCATCGATGACTTACCGGATTCCTTCTTGGTCTCCCACTAGCTCTGGCAACCGCATTGGACATCAAAGACGACACAGAAGTGATCCTGAGAAGTTGTTAAGATCGATCACCTAGAGAGGTTGGGCCTCACCTAGCCAGATCAGCAACTTCGGGAGGGGGCTGGGAGGCAGTCGGAGGACGACTGAAAGTCATATCGAAGAACCGATCAGCTGAGGAAAGACATCATGATCCCGCAACGAGCCGTATGCACAAGATAGCAAGGTGAGATACGTCGTACGGCCAACCTGACTAAGGTCATCAGGAGGTATCTTATCAGTGAAGGATGCCATACCGCTCGCAGTGTGTCGCAATCTAGCCTGACTCTCTAGTCACAGTAATAGAAGTCCGGTGCGATCCAAATCAACTCAAGCCGGTTGGGATGTTCGGGCGATGCAATAAAGAGACATTCTCATAGAAATATGCATATCCCGAGCGAGCCAGAAACAGGCAGTAGGAGTCTAACAAGTCGGCTCGCAAGTGATGCAGGTCCACTTTTGCAATGTTCTGAATGGAGGCTAGTTTATGAAAACTGTGAGAACGACACAGTCCCAGGGATGCTGAAACTGCAGAGGAGCCGTAGGGCGGAATCGGCAAGAAAAGTGAACCAAACGACGAGCCCGATCCATGATTCTGTACACACGCATGAGCAAAACATGTGATTGCGAAGCTCACGCGTTGTGGTAAAACTAGTTGCTCGGCCTATCGAGTCGAGGGGAGGAGAACGGATCGTACAAAGTTGCAGACACCACACCTCATGAAGGATACTCAAAGGCAACAGACTTGCTGAGAGGTGTGTATAACGATCACAAAACAGATATAACATCACTTGCATCATTGGTCTAGTGGTAGAATACAACGTTGCCATCGTTGTGACCCGAGTTCGATTCTCGGATGATGCAGTTTAATCCACAAAAGAAGGAACATAGTCCTACTGTTTGTATTAAACCCACGCATACGCCATATACCCCGAATCGATGTCTAGTTCCACAGCGCCTAGCGACCTTCGAGCAAATACCAATAAGGCATGGACTACCGGAGCGAGCCTCATGCCTACATCCGGCATTTCACCCACTCGAAGGACAACAGCTACTCTATTCTCAGGATGAGTCAACAAATATACAGGAACGGTTGAGAACACACTCATCGAGAGTGAAACCATATTTAGAGACGTATTCGACCTCCACTTGATGGGTATAGAGACGACCACCGATGACTCGACTGCCAATGCTACGATCACTGAACTCACGAAGGTAATCGTCAGTAGCTAGGTAAGACTGCGCGACACACTCATCAACAGAGGTATCCACTGTTCGCCGTTGTAAACATACAGGTGACTAATCAAACGGCGCCGTATGGGCAGTAGGCATATCCAAGCACTAAAAACAGCTGAGCAAAAAACGACAGTGAGAAAAGGCACTAGTAATAATAACACGGCATAGAGATAATCAGAAGAAACACATGATAGTAGACACGGCAACTGCGACGAGAAAGAACTAGGTCAACTAGGCAGAAACGGATCC